AATCTTGCGGCCGTGGTTTGCATCGACGGGCGCGTCGAGTATACGGCGTGGGAACCGCCGGGGCCTCTATTACGGCGGGGCAGCATCGCTTCACGTGCCCGTGCCCGCCCTGGCGCATCGCCTGCCAGCGCGCGCAAGGCAATTCCGCGAACGGCGGGACGCCCAGATTGTCGGGCTGGAGATGCTCGCAGTTGGGCTGGCAATGTGCACGTGGGGCAACAGGATCCGCGGCCGCGACGTCCGCATCTACAGTGACAACACGGTCGCTGAGTGCGCCTTCCGACGTGGCTCGGCGGCCGCGCCAGATCATTGCGCGATCGTTCGCGCGTTCTGGGCGACCGCGTGCGCAATGCACTTGTCGGTGCTGGTGGGCCGAGTCGCTACGGGCGCCTGCTCGCGCCGCCGCGCGCCGCCGTCGACACGCGCGCTCTGCGCGTGCGCGAAGACGATAACATTGCCGATCTGCCCAGCCGCGAGGAGTATCGTTTACTCGACGATTTGGGTGCCACGTGGCGCTGGCCGACGCTGTGGCCGCAGTTCCAGCGGCTCCAGCTGCCAGGGTAGCTCGCGTAGCGGGCAGCGTGCGCGCGCGGCGCGGGCATTGCCGCGCGCGCGACCACCGGCTCGGCGGATTTCCGCACGCTCTGACCCGGAGCGGGCGTGCAGCGGGATGCGCGCACCCGCTGCAGCTCGGCGGTTAGTGCACCCCGCGCGCTTAAGCGGTCGCGAGGCCAATGTCCGCCGCTCCCTGCTTGCTTGACGAAGTCGCGCAATGGTGCCGCGGGAGCGCGGCCGCGGCCGCGGAGGAGGTCGCGGCGTGCATGCGGCAGAACGACGTTTTCCGCGTATCCTGCGTCGGGGCGTTGCCGCCCGTTCGGACGTGGAACGGCTTCGAGGCGCCCTCTTCGCGCGCGTTTCCATAGCGACCGCGCGGCCGCGCCGCGTTCGCACGGAGGCGTTATCAGGGGGGCGGCGCGGATCCTGGAGCGGATGGCCATGGCGCGCCCTCCGCCCGGCCCGCCGCCGAGGGGCGCGGCAGCCAGCGCGGTCGGGCATTCTGCCGCCGCGCGACCGCGCCAGCCCGCTGCGTGCCTCGACGCCGAGTCTGTTTCGTCGTCGAGCTCGGACTCCTCCTCTGAGTCGGCACCGCGTGCAAGGCCGTCGCAGCGCGCGGCGCTAGCCCGCGCCTATCCTGCCGCCGTGTACTTTGAGCGCGAGTGCGCCAGCCGCTCGCGGGCTGGGCCGGCGGCGAGCGTGCGGGCAGCGGCCGAGGCGCACGGCCGCATTTCGGATGCGCAGCGGGCCGCGCGGCTGGAGGCAGCGCGCGCGACGGCCCTCGTGGGCGGGGCGCCGGCATCCTTCGGCACGTGGCGCAGCGCCCTGCGGAATTATTTCGCGTTCGCCGCCAAGGTTCTGGGCAAGCGCGACAACGAAGCGCTGCCGCCCTCCCCTTCTGAGCTCGCGCTGTGGGCCACGCATTTTCGCAATCGCAAGACGTTTGGCAATTGCAAGGCGCAGGTCCTCAAGGCCTGCAGGCTATTGCGCCTTGATTGCAGTGCTTTCGACAGCGCGGAAGCGAGCGGCGCGCGCGCCGCCGCGCGCAAGCGCCTGCGCGAAGGGCCGGCGCCGAAGCCCGCGATCGGCCATCGGCTCTTAGTCGACATGCTTGCGCGCGTGCCCGACGAGGCCACTCGGGGCCTTTTCGTCGCGGCTTTCGCGTTCGCTCTTAGAGCGCCGTCGGAGGGCCTCTGAATCGAGAAGGGTGTCCCGCGCATGGCCGCGCCCTTCTCCTTCTCTGACGAGGATTGTCGCGCGCGCAAGGCACGCGCGGTTGTATTCTTCGCCGGCGGCCGTGTCACCCTGCATTTGAGTAGACGCAAACACGTCGACCATCCTTCGCGCATCGTGCGCAGCTGTTGGTGCGCGGCGTGCACGACCACTTGCCCAGTGCACGCCCTCGGGGCCTTCCTCGACCGCGCGCCGGCGGGCACCGCGCCGTTTGCGCACCTGTCGTGCGGGTGCATTCTCAGCTTGGTGCGGCGGCTCGCCCATGAGGCCGGCGAGCGCGACTCTGCGCACTTTTGCGCGAAGTCCTTCCGGCGTGGCCACGCGGAGACTTTACGCTTCAGCGGTGGCAGGCTCGCAGAGATTCTCCGCGCGGGCTGCTGGCGCTCGGGCGCGTTCCTCGACCATATGGATCGAGAAGAGCTCGAGGGCGACGCCATGCTGGAGCCGCTGCAGGCAGGCCAAGCACCTGCGCGCGTGCCGGGATAGCTCTCGCGTCAGGGGAGCGCGCGCGCCAGCGGTGGCTGGCTCGGCATTGGGTTTCGCGCCCCCTCCCCTGGCGGCTCCCTGGCTACCGTCGGCATTGGGGTCATCGGCACCCAGGTGACCCTGCCAGGGGGTGGGCGCCGCGCCCTGGGCGGCGAGTGCACAGACCCACGGGCGCGGCCCGCCCCCTGGGGGCGCCGCGCGCAACGATGGGGTGCTGGCGGCTTCGCAGAGGCGGTCGCGACAGGTGCGCGCGCTGCGTTTGTGGTAGGCCCACAAACTCGTTCGCTTGGCAGGCACAGACGCGCGCGCGCGATCGCGAACGGGAGCGCGGGGTGTCGGCGGCCATGTCCGCCGACGAGCGCGACGCCGCGCAGGAGCGGCCTGCGAGGGGGGGCCGCGCGCCGCGCCGCGCGGCGCTGCCAGCGCTGGCTGTTTGTTCGCTTGGCCGCCGCTGGGATCCCGCGTCGCGGCGGCTCTGCTCGCGCGCGGCGCGCGCGCCGCGCAGGTTCCTTTCCTTGCTGCCAGCCATCGGCGCTGGCAGCTGGGGGTGCGGCGTTTTCTCCCACCCTCAACCGCCCCCTGGGGGTCATCGGCACCCGGGTGACCCTGCCAGGGGGCGGGCGCCGCGCCCTGGGCGGCGAGTGCGCAGACCCACGGGCGCGGCCCGCCCCCTGGGGGCGCCGCGCCCAACGATGGGGTGCTGGCGGCCTCGCAGGGGCGGTCGCGACAGGTGCGCGCGCTGCGTTTGTGGTACCGCCACGCAGAAGGTGGAGTCGCCCGGGAGGTGAGATTTTTTTCGGGGAGGCCCCGCGGCAGCCGAAAAAAACGCTCAATGCGCACGCGCTGCGGCGCGGCAAGGTGTTGACGAAGCTGCGCGAGGCAGGTTTGAAATTGCCAGACGTGCTAGCTGGAAGTCACAGGATGGCAGGAGCAGTGGCACCAACATTGCAGAGTCTGAAACCCAGGGTGCTCTGCAACAGTCGATTGACGGTGCAGGTCGTGATCGAGGGCCTCAAGGAGATGTCTTGGGGCGACAGCGTGGCGCGCAATAGGGGCATCCACGCAGTGCTGAACACGTACCTGGCCGAACACAAGGAAGGTGAGAGCTCCTGGGTGGGCGGTGCCTGGGAGGACGCGGGGGATTCTGGATAGGAGGACGAACAAGAATACTATGAGTGGTACGGCAGCGATGGCCCGGAAGACGCGGCGCCCGAGGAGCTGAATCGGCCTACGCGGCGACGGAGGTGGCGTACGCGGCACATGCAGCGGCGAGGTCCAAGATGAATGGGTTGACGAAGTCAAGAGGTTTCTACCCAGTGGCGGCTTCTACCCAGCGGTGGCTCTACTCCGCCGCCGCGAGCTGGTGCGGGGAGACACCGAAATTCACAGGAAATGGTCAACTTAGTGGCAAATCTCGCGGAACTTCCAGCGAGGGCAAGGCAAATGACAAGTACTGTGGCAGAAGGCCGTTTCCTTTCCCCAGACGTCTGTTCATCCGGATGGCAGCCCTAGGACATCCGGCGCTGGATCGACATGGCAGCGCGGGCGGCGTTTCATGCGCCGGAGAGATGGGGTCTCTCGGGGCGACGAGGACGCAAGCATGTTGCACGATATCCGGGGCGACATGGCTGCGTCGGAAATCGCCCCCAGCGCGGGGGCGGGGGAGAGGTCTGCCGCTCGAGGGGGCCAGCCGTGCTGCGGAAGATGGAGTTGGCGACGGCGGAGCGACAAAGCCTGCGACGGGTCTGGGGGGGCGGCCATCACGGCGGAAACAAGCCGCCACCAGAGGTCGCGGCGGAGAGGTACGTCATGACGTTCAGGTTCGGCGGCGACGCGACGGCGATTGCAAAGCAGACGGTCGCATTCCCAGTCTGGGTCCGATGCGCGATGCGCTACGTCGCGGTTCACGTCGCGTCAGGAAGGTCGACGTTGCGGGCGGCGTGGCCCTGCGTGGAGGGGCGGTGCATTTCCGCTGACTACCGCGACAGTCGGGGGCGGCCGGGAGGGCGGCGATGACTGGGGGGGGTATCATGGCTGGGGCCGCGAAGCGTCCCCAAGTTTCGGCGCCGCTTCTTATTTCGACGCGCCCACGGCGCCTCCCCCCGGGGCCGAGCGCGCGCCGCCGACCGCGACGTGCGCGCCCCCCTCGCGGGCGCCCTTTTCGAGCACGCCCGAGACAGGGGGGCGGCGCGCAGGGGTGGCGCGCCGAGACGGGCCGCGCGACCATGAACGCGTTCAGTTCCGAGGGGGGGGGGGGGGGGGGCGCTGGGGGAAGCGGGGGGGGGGGGGCGAGCGGCGCCGACGCCGACGGCGGCGACCGCCGGGTCGAGAGCGAGAAGGAGAAGGGCTTCTGCGCGACTGGCAGCCGCGGCGACGGGGCGGCGAACGCGGAGACGACGAAAGAATTCGACCTCGAGCAGCTGAAGGAGTGGCTCAGCATGGCAAGCTAGACCCTCGACGAGATGCCGTCGGCGTAGCGGAAGTTTGGAGATATCTTTGTAGGCAAAGGCCTTCTGCTACTTCGCGGGGCACCGACGCGTGGGCTGGCGTGGCGGGCCGCGACGCGTTCGTGGACCAGGGCGCGCGCTCGCCGGCGGCGCTGGGCGCTGCTGGTCGGCGGCTCGCGCCAATCGTGCCGGCGAATGCGCGAGCGTCGAAACTAAAGGCGCATGGGGGGCTTGATGGGGCGCTGCGCTCGCGAAAGAAAACGCGCATAGGCGCTCGCAATGTGCGTGGGATGGACGGCATTGAAAGCGGCCGTCTGCATCGCGGGCGACCCGCAGAACGAGTCGGGTTTCGCGGCGGAGGAGGCGGCCTGGGAGGGCCAGAACAAGATCGAGCGCGCGGAGGTCTGGGAGGTCGCGCGCGACAGGTCATGTGGGCGGGGGAGGTCCACGTCCAGATGTGCCATCTACCGAGCGGGGCGCTGGCAGCGGCGCCGAGGGAGATGGGCGCGGGCGTTCGCGCGGTCGGCTGCGCAGTTGCATGCATCTGCGACGCGCGCCTCGAGAGGAAGGGGCCCGGGCCCGCGATGGTTTCGAGGGCCCTTCTCGACCGAGGCTTGTTTGGCGCGATTGGCGCCGACGCGCCCCGCATTTCGCGGCGCGAGAAGCGCGCGCTGATCTGCGCCATGCTGGGCGAATGCCGGATCGCAAGGCGGGCGTCGCCGTGGGGGGCGACCGAGCCAAGACGGAAAATGAGGCGATCGAGCAGCTTTTGGATTCAGCGGGCCGGCGCGCCGGCAAGGGCGCGAGCTGATCGTCGCAGGGCGCTCGCGGGCGCTGAGTTCGAGAGCTGGCGCGCCCACTGGGCGTTCTCGCGCGAAACCATCAAGTGCGACGGCCGCAGATCGTCCGATGTCGCGACGATCGGCCCGGCGACCAGCTCGAGGCGGCGGCGCGAGTTGCCCGAGAGAGAAGGAGTCGGCCGCGCAACGTCAAAGGTTTCATTCCAGCACGGAGGGCGCCGGGCAGGCAGCTCAAGGACTGGGGCGCCCTGGCGGGCGGGCCCGCGACGGCGGGGGGCGTGGGCGAGCGCGGCGAGGAGTTCCACCCGAACCTGTCGCGCGGGAGAGGCGCTGACCGGGGGCCCGCGCGCCCGGGGCAGCGCCGCAGGCGCTGGGTGCGAATGACAGACCCTTATCGCAGGGGCTACAGTTCGGCAAATGGCTGGCGTCGCGACCAAGGCGAGAGCAGCCTCATTTAGAGTTGCTGGAAGGGGCCTGCGATGGTCGCGCAGCGCAGGTCGAGTGCGCGCAGGGCCCCGTCAAGTTGAGGGCGTCAGTGGCGCGGCGTGCGTTCGTTAATGCGCTGCCGAGGGCTACCCGCGAGCTGCTTCGACCTCAAGCGCAGGGCGGCCGGGTGAACTTGGAGTCGGGCAACCAGTGGAGCGACGTGAGGCGCGCGGAAGTCAGGGTAGGCATCGTCCACGAAGCACCGCGGGCGAGGCCCGAGGGCGCGCGTCAGGCACCAGAGTCGCCGCGCGCAGCGATGGGTTGCGCTGGAGAGGCCCAGTTGCCGCGAGACGGATTCGTCGGCGAAGGCCCGGCGCGGGGCCGCCGACGAGAGGTCAGCCGGGACATCGCGGCAGCCGACGAGAGGGCCGCCGACGTGATTGGCAGCGACGAGCAGGGCCAGCTGGGCAGGGAGGGCGAGTTGGAGGAGACAAATCGCGGCGAGATGTTGGAGAGCATTAACGCTGCCTCTGGGCGGTCTGAGGCCGCGGACGAAGCGGCTGAGCGCCGCGGGCGCAGAGGCGACGACCGACGAGACCTCCAAGGGGGACAAGGGGCCGATGCTGCTCCACGAGGGTGCCGGGGCGACTTGCACGACCACGTGGACGCGAGCTGACCGGCGACGAGAGGGTACAGCTCGACGAGGCGAAGGCGAAAGCGTTGCCACCGTGGGTAGTGGGCCAAGCGTGGCAAGCAGCGAGCCAGACGGAGGCCGACGTAGGCGAGCTTCGTTTTCTCCATGCGTTTTTTTTTGGGGGGGGAAATGGAAGATGAAGGGCGGAGTCCGCGAATCCAGCGCTCGGGCGATCCACCGGGGCCCCCGCCTGGAGGAGCGCGAACGTCGACGAAGCGACCCCCGCGCTTGCCAGGCTGTCCAGGAACCTTACCCTGCTCATCCTGTTCCGGCAGTCGTGGAAAACGATGGCGGCCCACGTCAAGATCGCGTTCCAACAGTCCGCGGGCGCGCGGAGATGGCGCGCGGATCTTCGGCTGGCCGACGTTGGACATGCGGGGGCGTTCGGCGAAATTCATGGGCTTCGATTTGGACCAGATTTAGCAGATGCTGAAGCCCGCTTCCGGAGGCGCGCGAGCCCCGCGACAGCGGGGCCGTGCCATCGCGGAGGTCATGATCGACATCGGGCTCCTGCAGCGCAAGCTGGACAAGTGCTGTCTCCCATCGTCCATGTTGGTGTTCAGTGGGGACGACCCCTTCCTGGTTTGCGAATCAGACGACAGCGTCGCCGCTAGCGGGGATGAGAATTCGGCGTGCGAGGCCGACCTCGTCAACGAACAGGCGCGCCCAGCTTTCCGGAAAGAGCGCAGACTCTGAGCATCCGCTTCAATTTTGGAAAGCGGGAGTTCTCGTATAGTTCGTGCCGTGTTTGGTGGCATCAGTCCCAGGCCAGGAACGAGGTCGATGTGAAGGCCGAGTAGTACATTCACGAGTTGGGGCCGACAGGCATTGAGAAGATGCGCCGCGTGCGCCCGGGCGACTAGTTCACGCAGAGGAAGGTCAGCCAGCGTTTCTTGCTGAACGGGGCCATGCGGTGGTGGCTGGCACCGCAATGCGCGGCGCAGGTGGCGGCGTCGGCTTCTTGCGTTTCAGGCGGCGTGAACAAGGCGACCGCGGGCAGTTTGTTCGAGGTAAGCAAGTTATGTCGGTTCCTGGTGGCGAATGGAGACGCGTGCGTTCGGCGTCAGATTCGCGGCCAAGTGGGATTTGTTTAGGGCGCGCCGTGGGCAACGAGGCCGAACGGCGAGTCTCGCAAAGGATGCATCAGATCCGCTATCGGGAGCAGATCGACGATGGCATGCCGACGCGACTCGTGATCAACGACTGGGCGACCGAGAAAGTGGCGCGCATCATTCGGGGGTCTGGCCGGCGTGGCGCAGTCTGCGGCCAGCGCGGTGGATGCCTTAGGAATCGCGAAGACGATGCTGACGACCATGTCCTTCCCCATGATGCAATTCACGGGTAAGCAGGTGCTGGGCGCGCAAGTAAGGCGAAGTCCGCATCATGGGCGCGAGGGCGCTCTGGGGCGCAGACGACATGCAAACGCCAGCTGCCAGGCTGACTGTGCGAAGGGCCCGCGTCGAGATCCTGCGGGCGAACGAGAAGATGGAGGAGTTCGGCGGTGCGTTGCGTTGGATTAGCGCGTGCGAGCACATGTCGGACAGGCCGGCCAAGCTGCGGGTTCGGCAGCAAACCGCGGAGAAATTGAGGGGGTGGCCCACGCGTTGAAGCTCGATGCGACGCCCGCGGCGGGCTGGGAGGTAAGCCGGAAGGATCGAGCCAGCGCAGAGCAAGACTTGGCGGACGCAGCGGCTGACTTCGACGGGGCCCGCGCGGCGGGGGGGGGAGGTCAGCGGGGTCGAGAGTGCCCAGCAAGGGCCGAAGGCGACAAGGGCGGCGAGCAAGGCGGCGGAAAGGTCGGCGCGAGCAGCGTCGGCGGCAGCGGCAGCGGCGACGGCCATGGCGGAAGCTGACGAGGAAGTGGGAGACAGTCCTGTGACAATGATGTTCCCTGGATGTTTGTCGTTGGTGTCATCGGTGCACTCGTTGCGGCCGTCGTGGCCAGCGCGCGCGGAGCGCGTGCGTTGCGGGCGCAGGCGTCTCAAGCAGTGTGTGCAGGGCCCGCGACGGTCGGAGGACAGCTCAGGGGGGGCCCCCGGTGCTGAGGATGAACCTGCGCGGCGAGTCGAGAGGATCAGGGCCCGAGCAGAGGATGTCAACAGACTCGAGAGCGCACGCCTGGATAACGCCGCGATGCAAGAGAAGTTGCAGATACCCTGGGCCTGGAGAAGGACCTTGAAGCAGTTCTCGCGACTCCGAGGATAGGGGCATGGAGATCGGGGGCCAGGCGAACGAGCTGGCCAGGCTCCACCAGGAGATCATGGACTTGGTGATCGAGTTGGCAACGAAGCGCCATCAGGCTGCGGCCCTCAGTGAGCGGGGAGACGAGCTGGAGGCCCGAACGCGGAGAGTGAAGTTGATGGCCGAGACGCCGTCGCAGTGCACGCAGTGGACAGATCTTACACCACCGAGGTTTCAGCACTAGGCGGACTGCCAGCCAGATGGCCAGGTCGATCGCGGGGTCGCAAGTTACCTGGGGTCCGCGGGCGCGCGGGGATATGACCTACGACGACGCGTTCTCGTGGGCAGGTTTCCATGGTTTTCGTTTCAGATGCAGTGGTTGGCGGAAATTGCATGGGGATTGGTGCGAGGGCGTTTCGTTTTCACCCCTGTCTGCGGGGAATTGGAGGCCAGCAGCTATCTGTCCCCTTTTACGTCAATGACACATAGCAATGCGTGCGCGCGCGCTGCCGCTGCTGCAATTGCTTTAAACTATTGTCGGGGGCCCTGAGCTGATGAGAACTACGAGCGGATATGTTCGATCCCTGCTCAGTCTGATTCATGTCGATTCGGTCTTCAACTCCGCGCGCGGCGACCTCGGTGGCCCCAGTGGCGGGCGACATGCAGCCGCGACGCCCGCGGCCAGGTCGCTCGCGAGGACATTGTTGACAGTGCATGCGACGGCAGCCAAAGCCCAAACAGTGGGCCGACCCGCGCGGCGACAGAGGAGGTGGGGGGGCGGCGGACGGGGGCCACGCTGCAGGTTTCGCAGCCAGCCCCTCTGGCCGCCCAAGCTCGGCAATGCAGTTGCGCGCATGCTCGGTGCCGAGAGCAGTCAGTTCCGTGAGCTCGGCCGCGCCGGGGCCCCGCGAGGCCGCCCATCGGTCGCGGCGAGAGGGCGCAGGGCGCAGGGGCGGGCGGTCGGGGGGCCGAGTCGCGCGCGGCCAGTTTCTGCGAGGAAGGCGAGCGTCGCGTCCTCAGAGTAGTTGCGGGATTCGCAACAGCCAGGATATTCGATTGCATGGCCCTCCAGTTGAGCTGGGCGAAAGCTGCCCAGGCATTGCGACAGTGGCGCTCGTTCGCGGCGCCCGCCCAGGACTTTGCCGCGGCGCCCCGCCGGCGCAGGGCGTCGAAGTCCGCTCGGGCAAGACAGGCCGCGGAATCGAAGGGGGGGCGGTCGGGGGCGAGCCCGAGCGCGGGTCGCCCCGAGCAGGTTCGGCCAGCGCCCTGGGGTCGAGAGGAGAAACGAGTCACGCGCAGCGGAAAGAGAGAAACGCGCGATCGATCTCGCGCGCCAGGAGGGCCAGGGCGCGCGCTGCAAGGGCTCGTGCGCAAGCGCCTCCATGTCGCCGCGAGGTCGCCTGGAACCCCCCCGCGCGGGCGTGGATTTGATTTGTCGGGTGTGTTGGGGCGTTCGGGCGCGCGCACGCCGCTTCGCCTCTTCCCCCCCCGCGCTGGCCTTCCGCTGGCGGTCGCAGGGGCCGCGTTGGGGGGCGCTTCCGAAACCCTGTGGAGTTCCCACTGTTGGGGCTCTCTTGGGGGGGTTTTGGGCCCTTCTTGGTGGGTGATCTTGGTTGTTTGTTCGGTGTCCGTCTCGGGGCGCGGAAGGCCTCCTGGGTCGACTTGGTGCGCCCTGGGAGTTGAATGGGCGAGAGTGTTAAAAATGTTCAAAACGTTGAATGTTGGGCGAGTTGCGCCCTTCAAAGACGAGCCCCGGCGGCCCCGAGGCGGCCCGAGGTGCCCCCGAAGAAGTCGCGGGGCGCGGGCGCCGGAGGGTGGCGGTGTCGATCCCCGGCCGCGCGTCCGAAACCTCGGAAATTGTCGCGCGCCGCGCCCCAGGAGCGCACGACGCAGCCCGCGACATGCCCGCGACATTGATTGGAGCCCTCAAGAGGATTTCGCTGTTCACGAGCCATCGCGGAGTGCCCCGATCGCGCTCAAATCGGCGTCTGCGGCATGGCGGTGTCGCGTGCGCGCGCACGCTAACGCGTTTAAGGCATCGCACACAATAGCGTTCACATGTTCAAGATGTTGCGCAGCTGAGTTCGCATCTGGTGATTGTCCAATGCAGGTGCACAAACACAGACACGCGAACACAACATATTTGCGTAAGCATGTGCGCATGCGGTCGCAAATTCACGCTCGCAAGCGCATGCAATCGTGCGTATGCCATTTCACACGCGTGTGTACATCCTCCCCTCACTGGCCCCTCACTCCCATGCCTTCTCCCCCTGTGCTCCCCTTCTCCCTCCCATTTTTCCCTCCCCCTCCCCATTCAGCCTTTTCCCGCGTTCCTCCCCCTTTCCCTTTTGATCCGTGCCCGATCCTCCTCCGCGTGTCATTCAGAGGCGTGCTTGGACCATGGGCTGGAGGCGATGGTGCCGCACGGCGGCCGTCGTTGCGGTGCGCCCCGCCGCGCGCGATTGGGATCGCAGTTTTGCGTGCGGCAATGTCAGCGGCGAGTAGAGTTGATTTTGCTTTACGCTTTTGGTTTTATCTGGGGGACGAGGTTGGGTACGGACTGAGGAGGAACGCGTGGTATCTCGATTGTACAGTTCGTCGTCGATACGGTCGTGTTTCTGCGAGTGGCCGTCGCATCATACTGGTGCCATGACAGTCCCAGCCGTCTGCGAAGGACCAGAGAAAGCGTTGGAATCATTTCACATACAACCTCTGGCACGATTGGTGCATCTGACTTGCAACACTACGGCACAGTGTCTGGTGGTCCTCGGCCCATCCCGCCACTGTGCCTGAGTTTTCCGTATGAACCTATTGGATGTTCATTGGGATCTCGTGGTGGGCCTTTTCGGACACGTTTTTAGGCCTCTTGAGGGCTGTTTGGGAGCCTCTTGGGGCATATTTTGGGTTTCTTGGTGATCATTTGGGGTCTATTGGGGCCCTCCTGGGGGCCTCTTACGGTCTCCTGGGCGCCTCTTGGGGCCTCTTGTGGGCCGTTTGGGGCGGCTCGGATTTTCTGTTCGTGTTCCGTCTGTTGCGTCCCGTTTGGGACCCTTTTGGGCCGTCGGTTTTGGATCGTCCTGGGTCGCTCTTAGGCTGCTTGGGGGCCCTCGTGGAGGCCTCTTGGACCGTTTTGGGGTGGAGTGGGGGGCCTCTTGGGCCGTTTTGGAGCGCCGGAGAGCCGAAAAGGTGAGAACGCCAAGATCATTCAACCACCTTGGGAACATCAATGGTTTTTGCGCGGCCTCTTGGGGGCCTCTTTAGGCGTTTTGGAGGCCCTGGGCCCTCTTGAGGCCATCTTGGGCGTTTTGGGCCGATGCGCAGGCGTCTCGGGGCCTTTTTGGGCGGCCTTGCAGGCCGCTTGGGGCCCTCTTGGCCAGCCTTGCGGCACTTTTGGGTCAGAAAAAAATCACGCGCCACCATTTGGCAACACCCAGGGGGCACGCGGGCGCGAGTCGTTCGCCCCGCTCTGAGCGCGAGGACCTCCTCGCTGCGAGCCGAAACCCTACACTACAGGCTCGTGGCCTCTGCGCGCTAGCGGCATGGTGGACACCACCCAAGGCACCCCAGGCAAAGGCGTTGGCAAGAAGGGGTGGGGGCGTCAGTGGCGCTACTGGTGCTGCCCCGCAGGCGCTCAAGTTTGCAGAAATTATAAGACGAGCCCGCCGCAGGCGCCGATTTTTCGTTAGTCGCGGGGTGGGTTCCAGGTGGCTCGCGGGTGGGCCGCGCTTGGTCGCGGGGTGGGTCGCGGGTGGGTCGCGGGTGGGTCGTGGGTGGGTCGCGGGTGGGTGGCGGGTGGGTCGCGGGTGGGTCGCGGGCGGGTCGCGGGCCGGGTCGCGGGGGGACGATGACACCAAACAATTTATATCAAACAGCTAGCAATAACAGCCACAGCAACAATACTAACACAGGCAACAACAACCAACAACAACAACAACAGTAATACTAATAACAATAACATCAACAACAACAGCAACAGCAACAGCAACAGCAACAATAACAGCAATCATTTAAATATTGTTCGTTCTTATTTGTTCGCGTGCCATTATTCAACACGTATATCCCAAACCCACGATGCACGCCCTCTTCGTCTACGATCGTACCCCATTTGGGGGTACATCTTTCTTACCTTAAACGTGAATTGTGTGCAGCCCTTAAGGCAGGGGAAGAGAGGACGGATGGAAGGAAGAGATAAGGGGGAGCGAGGAGGATGGAGCACGAGAGAGAGTAGCAGGAGGGGGACACGGAACAGAAAACATGGCAGAACCAGACGGGCAGATCGGGCAGGTAGGCCCAAATGGGCGGGTCGGGAAGGCGGGCCTGCCCGGGCGGCCAGGTCGAGCAGGCGGGTTGCTGAAGCGTGCGTCCTGCATGAATCGCGAGGAAGTCTCGAGCGAAAGCACGATTTCTAAAGAAATCCTGAGATAATCCATAGCGAGAGCGTGATTCCCGAGTATCGAGGGCGCTGCGTCTGAAGAAATTGCGAGGAAGTCCCACGCGACTGCGCGATTCCGGCATACATTCTGGGGAAGTCCCGCGCGAGAGCGCGATTGTCAAATACATTGTAAGGAAGTACAGGCGGGAGCCGTTGTTGTTGTGGTCTAGGGGGCAATTTGGTTACACTTCTTCTTCCCTTGAGAAACACGTTGATTCGAACAACAACAATGGTTACCGCGCAGGGGATGAACAACAATTATTGCTTAGACAAGGGAACTTAACAACAACAATCCAAACCGCAAAACCTCACTTCAGCCACGCGTCCAGGGACAGTGGGTGACCGTTCGGCTCCTCTTGCTGATATACATAGATACACATATATACATGTGTATGTCTGTGCAAGACTGAACTGACACTTCGCGCCATGCACCTTGGTCCTCATTGTTTGGTATGCAGGCGGCAGGACAGGAAGGTCAAATTACAACTTTAGCGATAACTCCTCGTTGCGTTTTCCGGCACATTCGGAATAATAACGTTATTAATCATATGTTCGTCTCGTTTCCTCTTCCTCCTCATTCTCGCCTTACTCTTCGAATGTGTCCCCATTCTCTTTAGCTCTTTTCTCGGAGGCTCCACCTTGGAGAGCCTTTCTGGGGGCCTCACGAAACTGTCTAAGGGCTACTTGGGCCTTCGGAAGCCTCCTGGGTTCTTTCTGGGGTCCTCTGGGGGCCGCTGGGGGCTTCCTCGGGCCACCCTGCTTCTGACCGCGGTCTCTCCGAACGACTTGGTCACGATTTGGAATGCTCTGGGTGGCGTCTTTGGGCCATCATGGAGCTCTCTTCGGGCCATCTTGGGGCTCTCTTGGACTGCCTGGAAGCCTTTTGGTTAGTTTTGGGGCGATGTTCTGGCCTCCTGGGCGGTCTCGGCCCCCCGGGGCCACGGATCTGGGGGGTCCCCTTTGTTTTTGCGGGGGGGGGGATTTCCCCACCTCCCCAGATTGGAAAAATATGGCCAAGGGACTATTTGTTGGCCGCCTCTGGCTTGTCAACCTCGTTGCAAATATCTTCCATGATCCTGATTGCATGGATGTGCATGTGTACGTTTTGTATTTCTGTTAGAGTGTATGCTAGAGATCGGAGGCTTCGAGGTGAGACCCAAGCAAAAAGTGAAGCGTACGAAGGAGGCAAATGATGCGTATAGGTTACATATCAAAGGTTTCGGGTGAGACCGAAGTGACACGAGAGGTGGAAGATGGAGGCAGAGGATGAGTACATGTTCCAGAGCGGGGGCTTCGAGGTTAGAGGGAAGCATAATGAGATGTGGAAGAATGAGACAACTAATGCGTACATGTTACATGTCAATCGGATCTTCTGGTTGAGACCGAAGTGAAACGTGGGGTGGAAGAGTGAGGCAGAAGATGAGTGTATGTTGCAGATCAGGGGTTTCGAGGTAGACCGAAACGGAACGTGATGTGGGAGAAGGAGGCACATAATGCGAAGGTGGTTCCGGGTGAGACTGAAGTGAGACGTGAGGTGGAAGGTTGAGAGGAGGAGGATGAGGAGGAAAAGGAGGCGGAGGAGGAGGATGAGGAGGAGGAGGAAGGCGGAGGAGGAGGAGGAGGAGGAGGAGGAGGAGGAGGATGAGGAGGAGGAGCAGAGGACGAGTGGGTCGCGGAGGTCGGACACGGAGGAGGGGAAGGACTGTCCTCTGGCCCCGCGCGCCTGGGAGGCGTGTGCGGCGAGCGGGGGGTCCTCTGGCTCTGTCTTGGTGGCCGCGGAGGCCGCGGCATGGCGGCCGCGCGAGGGGGTGGGGAGGTGGAGGGTCAAATCGGGCCTGTCCTTCTACAGGAGGAATATTCAACAGTCGTCAGAATATAGTCAGGGAGCTATGTTTTTGAATATTTTCGACCATTCGGGAGTATTTTCTGACTATTTTCTCGCTTTCGTTCATGATCCGCCTGTAGGGGGACATGCCCGACCCAAGCGAAGGGGGAGGGGGCACGTGGGTCTCGTTTTCGTTCCTTCGGGGGGCCAGACCAGCGGAGCAAATTGCATTGTTCGTTTCTTCTGAACATTGGCGCTCGCGACGGGCTTCGATGTTGATGTGTGGCGCTCTCTTGGACACAGGCTTCGGCCCATCCCGCCACCGTGCCTGGGCTGTTGTTATGAAGCCAATTGGATGATCTTTGTGATCTCGTGGGAGGCCTCTCGGGAGCCTCTTGGAAACAGTTTGGAGGCCTCTTGGGATCTATTTTGGGGCGTCTTGGGGTTAGGTTTGGCGCCTCTTTGGGACCTCTTGGTGGCCTCATGTAGCCTCTTGGGGCCTCTTTTGGGCTTATTGGGGCCTCCTGGGCGCATCGTGAGGCCTCCTGGGGGCCTCTTAGAGTGGAAGGCTCGGCTGTTCGGTTCGTGTTCCCTCTCGTGGGTCCCTTCTGGGACCGTCTTGGGGCCCCCTTGAGCCGTCTTGGGGCAGTCTTGGGGGCCTCTAGTGCTGTCTGGGAGCGTCGGGAAACCGCGACTCGGAGCCTTCTTGGACCGTCTTGGCGGTCTCTTGGAGCCACCTGGGCCCGTCTTGGGGCTCTTGTGCCCGAAATAATCATGCGGGAAGACGTGACGGGGCCCAAGGGGCACGCGAGAAGCCTTGGTTGATTTCGGAATGTGCGGTCCAGCCCCCTGAAATACTCCTCAGGACTGAGGACTGAGCCTCCAGGGATTAGGCAAGGGACCTGAGGACTCGCCCACTCCGTGCCCAGAGGCACGGTGCCGGATTCGTTCTCTTTTGGAAGGGGAAGATATGGGTGCTGGGGGCGTGGGGCAGCCCTCGGCAGCCCGGCAATCTTCATTCTACCCACATGCTGCATCCGACAGTTCTGATGCAGTTTTCCTCCTCTCCTTTCTCATCTCCTCTCCTCCCCTCCCGCAGCAGGCTTGATCGTGCTCCCTGACCTGTTGCTTGCCTGGTTGGTTCCGGGGAGGACGAGGATGGAGGTGACGCAGATTTCAGCGAGCGATGATTGACATGTTTTGGTGATGCATATGGTGCCCGTTTGGTGGTCACCGCATAGTGGTGATGATCGTGTCATGGGTTCGTTTGGGCTCAAGTAAGGGGGCCCATGGCCGAAGGGCGGAAGGACGAAGAGGACGAGGAGGTCGCAGACTTGACAGAGAACGCGAGAGAGGCATGGGAGATGAGGTGGCCCGAGGGTAGCCCTCTCAGGGTGGGTCTGCACCTGCATGTGAAGTGTTGCATTGCCGTGGTTGGTAGAAACGGACTCGTCTTCAGTCGGGGGGGGGGGCAGCCACGTTGCCATCAGATCGCCGCGTCGCCCGACCCTTGAGCAGGCTGGCCCAGCGGACGCGGAGGCGACCCCCGCCCCCACCACTCCCTACAATTGGCGCGGCCCCGCATCAGTTGTGGGTAGTGGGGCCACGCTCGTGGTTCTCATCGTCCCTCCTCCGTCCCGTTTGGGGACGGAAGAGAGAGGATGAAGGAAGAGAAAGGATGCCGTGTTGCCGAAGGAAGGCGAGGAGACAGCGGGAGGAGGGGGAGGAGGAGGTGGAGGAGGAGGAGGGATGAGGAGGAGAATAAAGGAGGAGAAAGGAGGTGGAGCGGGTGGGAGGGGCAGGGATGTCCAGGGAAGGCTTTGGAGGGAGGCCGAAGCAAGAAAGGTTTGACGCTCCGGGTCCTCGAGGCCAAATAGCTTGCCTAAGAAAAAAAAACAAGGGCGGATGGAGGGTGGGCGAGGGGATGGAGGGGGGCTTTTGACTGCACTTAGCTCGTTGCAAGTAGCTTGAGCGGGGCGGCCGCAGGTCGGCTAGGCGGCAGACAGAGCCCGCCTAGCGGGCACTACAAAGGATCTCCGCTCCTGGTCCGTCCGCAAGCAAAAGCGATTCTTCGCCATTGGACCTGCATGTTCGGCGGGGGAGGTATTGGCACCGAAGGGGAGGGAGGGGGAATATATGAGGAAGAGAAGGGATCGGTGCCGTGCGAGAGTCACTAAGCGCGCCAGCTAGGCGTTGCCCTATGCGGGCAGCGCTGAAAGACCGAAGAGCAGCACAGCTGGCCTCAGGAACGGCCACCTGGGATCATGGCTTAGCCATGGATATGAGCGGGATGAGTAGGAAGAGAGCCAAAATGGCAGTGCCGCGCTGTAGGGCGGCAGTGTCGGAGCGGACCAGGAGGGAGAGGCTGGCATTGCCGCCTAGAGACCTAGGAAGCCCCATCGGAAACGCACGTGACCGGTAAGGGGGGCAGGTAAGAGAATGCCTGTGCTGTACTTGGCTTCTTAGTGTTAGCGGGATTCGCCGACACGTGGTAAGAGGAGGAGGGAGGAACTCTAGGGGGGGTGAAGGAGTATCTTGCACAGCCAAGAAGCACTAAGGCGAGGTAGCTGTCCGCAGCAGGTGCGCACCTCTGACGGGCAGCATTAGCCGAGAGATACTCGGCAGGAGGGAGGGGGGGTTCCCCGGAGGATGCTCTGCCAAGGAGCTGCCGTGAGCGAAAAAGGCCATTTGCGCCGAAGACGGCCGCATGGAGACCAGCTATGTGCCAAGACGGTGCAACGTATGACATAACATTGCATTGAAAAATGCGTTGCTAGCATTGTCTGGCCGGCCGTGCCGAGGAAGAGGGAGGAATCGAGTAAACTGTCATGGCATTGTCTGTAGGACCACTCTGCGGAAGATGACTGGTAGCGCCTGCGGCTTCGCCGAGACCTGCAAACTTGAGGCGGAGTGCCGCTGAGACAAGTGCGTGACAGGTGCATGCGCACTGCGCCGAGTCGGAAGCCACAGGGCTGCTGAAAGCTGTCTACGGTCGCTGTCCAAAAATCCTGACGCCGAATGTGGTGTGGTCCCTCGGCCTGGTGTGCGAATGACCCTGGACATGGAGCGTACTGCACGGCACGTAATACGTAATGCGCGAGGAAAGGACCAGGAGGAGGGAGTGCCAAGGGGCAAAAAAGAGGATCGAGGAGATGCACTGAGTGGGCTTTCAGTGTCAACCGTCAACGTATATCGGCTTGTGCGCGTAAAGCGGCTGAGCCACGCAGTGCAAGTCGTAAGAGTGCTGCGACCTAGCATCGAGCATTGGCTTGGCCTTACCAGAGGCCTTCGCGCTTTGGGCGGCCTCGGCCGAGCGTCCTAACACTGTTGCGAGCTGTGCTGTTCCCGGCGGCCCTCGCTGTCGGGCGGACGCAAATGCAAAGTGTGGCATGCCGCTCAATGGCAAAAGCGCTTATAGGACGATGACCGTACCCTAGATCCAAAACTGGACATGTGACGCCGATAAGGCAGGCGGCGAGAGGCGCTCGAGCGTGAGCAGAGAGCAAAGAGCAGAGAGCTGTGCATGGGATGCACATGCCTGTGCCGTGTTTGTGTGACGCTTGTCCATGCGAGTACCTGGCCATTGAAGGGTGAAACACGGGACGAACCAAGGCGGAGGAGGAGGATGGACAGGTGAACGAATATGGTAGACAAAAGCGCAAATACAGGTGCACAGGAGGAAGGAAGGGAGAGAGAGGCACGGCGTGAGCACGGCGTCATCGCATCGCGCCGACCCTGACGGGCAAGCGACCCAGCGGTAGCCGGCTTTTGGGCCAGAATACTAAAGCCGCCTCGAGCGGAGAGCCCTCAGGGCTGGGTGCACGAGGCCGTGAGACTCGAGGGGGGCCGATGCTAGCTCTTGTTCGCTGCGGCTGGCTGCCTCGGGTCGGTGGGCTAAGTGCTTACGCGGGCGCAGTGTGAGACGACTCACGTCTGTGCTGCCTCTGAGTCTTCAGCATCAGAGGACGGAGGCAGATCCCAATAGGGGCGCCCCAGAGGCAACGAAGGAGCGGTTGCGGTAGCCATCCGTGCGGCAGCCGCCGCGTCCAGTGCCGCTCGCGCAGGAGTGCTAGTGAAAAAAGGCCGGGGACTGCCAGGTCGTGGCGGTCTCAGAGCCGTGGGGCACGGCTGTGGCGCCCCGGACATTGAGACCGCCTGCGCCCTCGGAGAGGCTGCTGAAAACCTGTGCGTGGCTGAGGGCTGCGTGGAGGCCCTAGGCTGCTGCACGGTCGCCGGCGTATGCACTGGCACTGCTGGCGTATGTACCGGCACAGGTACTGGCACTGGTAATGGCTGAGGCACTGCTGGCGTATGTACTGGCACTGCTGGAGCTGGGACTGCTGGCGTATGTACTGGCACTGCTGGCATTGGGATTGCTGACATTTGTACTGGCACTGCTGGCATATGCACTGCTGGCGTATGTACTGGCACTGCTGGCGAATGCGGAATTGGCACTGCTGGTATTGGTACTGGCTCAGGTACTGGCACAGGTACTGGCACTGGTACTGGCTCAGGTACTGGCGCTGGTACTGGTGAGGCGGCGCGCGCTACGGGGGCAGGCTGCGGTGCCCGCTCGGCTGCGGCCGTGGACAGAAGAGCCGCATGAAGCGCGCCTCCCAGCCGGGAGCTGCACGAGCCGCGATGCGCCAGCGCGTCGAAGGCCCGCAGCAGGCCCTGCACCGCTCGCGCGTCGGCGCGGCGGTACTGCTCACGCCGGGCCGCGGCACTGCGGGGGGGCCTGCGACGGGGCCGGGCCGCCCGCTCGGGGGAATCCATGGCGCGCCCGCTGAGAGGGGCAGAGGGGGGAAAGGAGGAAGCGGCGCGGGGGGGCGCCCGTGGCGCTGGCTGGCAGAGCAGATGCTCGGGCCAGCTTGCGCTGATGGAGGGGGGAGGAGGGAGGGAGGGAGGGGAGGCAGGTGGGTGCGAGGTCAGGGGGCCGGGTCGACGTACGAAGGTTCGTGGCAGAGCTGAGATTCGGGTGATCATCATCATCATCATCATCATCATCATCATCATCGTCCTCCTCCTCCTCCTCCTCCTCCTCCTCCGTCGTCGTCGTCGTCTCGTCTCGTCATCATCATCATCATCATCATCATCATCATCATCATCATCATCATCATCATCATCATCATCATCATCATCATCATCATCATCATCATCATTCTTCGTACCTCACTCCTCACTCCTCACTCCTCACTTCTCCTCCTCGTCCTCCTCCGCCTCCTCCTCCGCCGACGCATAGCTCGGCGACGCAGAATGGCCGGGCCATCGCCGAAGCCCCGCAGCTGACGTGTCGTCGCACTGTCAGGCTCCTTGAACGTGGATGGGCCCTGCGAGGACAATGAGCGAAGGCAAGCAGCATCAGACCGTGCCCCACTCGCTCGATGGGGCGGACTCTGTTCGCAAGTGTCTGGCTTGTACCGTGCTTGGCGCCACGCTTTTAGAGAGGCGATGCCTGACACAAGTCGTTGAACGCATCCCGGGGGCAGTTGTTCGACATCTTCGTGTATGAATGGTGGCGCCCAGCGGGTAACGTCGAAAACATGGTCGTGTGGAAGCGTCGCCACAATGACGCATTGACCGAGTACTTGGCCAGTGACGTTGGGGACGGTCAGAGATCGTGACTTTCATGAGCTTGTTCTCTGACTCTGCACGTGCAGACCGCGAGCTTGTTGGTGCACACGGACGGCGGTTGTTGGCATGGCCCTTGCACGGTAGCGGTTTGGCTCCTCGACATGGTTATCGGGCGTGGCTCTCCATTGTAGTAGAAGACTCCTTCGGCGATTCACCGCCGCACCCATGCCTTCTAAACACGCTTGTGTGGTGGAATGTAGGACGTCAGCACGGGAATGCTGGTAGACCGCGAATAGCCCGAGCGGTCGGGGAAACCACCTGATGAGCACTGGGGAGGGGCTCTCTGAGGCCGTCCAGGGGACTGTCTTGGAGTTCTTTTTGGGCCTTGGGGAATTCTTTAGGACAACCTGGGGACCTGGAAAATTGCCCGGTCATCTTCTCCCGCAGTCTCCAGCCCTGCAATTGACCAACATTCCCACGGCAGAGCCTGTGATCTCATGCGCGGACCACGGCATGTTTTGGGTACATCTTTCCGACGTCGCGATTAGTTCACAAAAAAATAGACCCCTTCCCTGGTGCCAGAACTTGATCCCGAACTGGTCCGTGGACCCGGTGAGGGCCCCCTGCGCAAGAAGGTGGCCCAAAATCTTCCGTCGTGATTGCTTCACGACGCGAGGACGTCTGGGAGCCCACCAGCTTCATCCCCCGCCACCCCCCTCCTCTCGACACCTCTCGCCCATCCGTCCTCGCCCATCTTTCAGCGGCGAGCGACGGGGGGGAGTGAGAAGGAAAAGGCCTTCTCAGAAGTCGGCGGGACTTCTCGGAAGCCCCCGCGCCTTCCGAGAGGCTTTTTTTGTGTCTCCGGAGAAGGCTCCGAACACTTCCCAGAAGGCCGGCGGACTTCCGAGCCTTCTGAGAAGGCCTCCTCCTTCTCGCTTCCCCCCCCTCGCTCGCCGCCAACTCTTCCCACCCCCCCCCCCCCCGCCTGCCCGGCCAGCGTCACGCCCGCCGCCAGGACGACCGCCCTCAGCCGGTGGGCCCGGCCCCTGCCAGGAGAGCGCTTGGGGCCGGGGAGGAGCAGGGGGCGCACAAGGCAGGAGGAGGCAGGAGGAGTGTCGCAGCCGATGCGGCCGTCCCTGGAAGCCTCGGGCCAGCGGCGAGGAGAGGGACAGAGAGGGAGGGGGGAGAGAGGAGGACGAAGGGCGAAGGTAGGGAGGGAGAGAGAGAGAGAGAGAGAGAGAGAGAAAGAGGAGGGAGAAGGGCGAGGGTGGGTGAGAGAGAAGGGGGTCGAACGGCGAAGGTAGGTGGGGGAGACCAGAGGAGGAGGGGAGGGCGGAGAAGGGCAAATGAAGGAGGATGGCAGGGGAGGGGCAGGAGGAGGGTGAGGACCATATTGAGGATGAGGATGGGGAGGGGTCACCAGGGCGTGCGGACTAGGGCGTCAGAGTCTCGCAGTTTGGTCTCTTCGGGAAGAGTATAGTGAGGACGAGCCATTGCGCGAGGAGGATGACGAGGATGGCGATATATACATATAACGGGGGACTGAGGTTAGGACCCCCAGGGGTCGCAGTACGTGGCCGAGAGCCCCTGGAACGGGACCCCGATCACAAGATTGCCACCCACCCCGCGCGGCCCAATCTTTTAGATGCTCCAGCATGCGCGTATTCTCCATCAGCAGCTCATCCACAAGCGATCGCCAGGCGAGTTGCCCTGATCAGGCAAGTGTAAGAATCGTCCAGTGGAATTGACAGGCGAGTCAGCTGTCAAGCCGAAGCTCGGAGTCAGCCTGCCGTCGAAGGAGGATTTATGAAAAGGACGATGCGGAGGATGAAGTGGAGACACGGGATGAGAATTAAGAGGGAAGTGGGAGGACGAGGAGAGAGGAGGAGGATTACAAAGGATGAGGAAGGATAATGGCGACGACGACGACATGAACGAGGTGGAAGAGGTGGAGGTGGAGGTGGACGACTCTGGCGAAATCATGCGACGTTCGCGGATCGTTCGTCCCAAGATCTTTTTGGAAGTTTCTTGACGTCATGCTGCAGTCTTCCTGGGGAAATTTTGTTCGGGGGGCAGCAGGCGGGTCCTGCCAGGGCCATCTTCGCGAAGGTCGATCGATGAAGGGGATGCCCTTAATCCGCGGCGTCCCTCCCTCTGCAGCCCGAAAGATCGCCTCCTGGAGCTCTCGTGGGAGGGTCTTGGAGCGCTCTGGGTCGCTTATGGGGCCGTCTCGGGCCCTCTCTCGGTCCACCTTGGGGCTCTCTTGGGCGACCTTGAGGCCTCAGAGGCGCATCGGGAGCGAAAGTCGAGAAGGCAACAGACACTCATGCTCTGTATGCAATTGAGGGATTCTGGCGCGGCCACGGGGTGGCCCCATGGCCACCTGGAGTAGCATCGGGGCCTCGTGAAAGCCTTCATTTGAGGCAACAGTAAGGCATATTGCGCCATCTTGGAGACCGTCCTCAGGTATGTGAAACCATGCTGGAGCCATCTTGGCCCAAAGCCCAACAGTCTTTCAGGGAGCCCTCCAAGATGTTCTTGATGGTTTCCAGCGAGGGGGGGTCTGAATCCGCCTTGCTCTTCAGGAGTGCCCCCAGGGCATGGATTACGAGTTTGAAGTATGCTAGAATATTCAATGTTTCGGTTGCAGTCGTTACACGCTACTTTGGGAGAGATCATATAGCCTTCAGACATGCCCCACGATGACCCTACGACGTCATCGAGACCGCGCGCGTAACGCGCGCGATGGTTCCATAGGGATAGGATGATGATGATGTCTTTGTCGATGTACGATTGGTGAAGTGGCGCGCCTCGCCTTTCACACGTTCTGTATTTCACTGCAGGGGTTTGTGGACTGTCGCAACTATCGTGTGAGTCGCTCGTGGACGTTCGTCACGCGCGTGCCGTGTATCCCAGCCCTTCTCTTTTCTTCCGCCCCCCTCGTCCTCGTCCTCCCCCTCTCCGCGTCACGTCGTCGGCCTCCTGCTCCTGGTGCTGAGCCTCGTCCCCCCTCCTGATCTTTCCTCCCCTCCTCCTCATCACCCCCTCCTCCCCCTCCTCCTCCTCCTCCGCCTCCTCTTCCTCCTCCTCCTCCTCCTCCTCCTCCTCCTCCCTCCTCTCTCCTCCTCAGCATATCATCATCATCATCATCATCATCATCATCATCATCATCATCATCATCATCATCATCATCACCCCCCTCATCCCCCCCCCTCGTCCGTCCCTCCCATCATCACCCCCTCCTCCTCCTCCTCCTCCCTTCTCCTCCCCCCTCCTCCCTGCTCCCCCCTCTCATCACCCCCTCCTCCTCCTCCCTTCTCCTTCCCCTTCTCCCTTCTCCTCCGCTCTCATCACCCCCCCCGCCTCCCCCTCCCTACTCCTTCTCCTCCCCCCTCATCACCCCCTCCTGCCACCCAGCCCTGCAGCCGGCGCTGAGCCCTCGGATCCTGCTGCCCCTGCTCCGGAAGGTCGGGAATAAGGAGCGTGGCATACAGGGATGTGCCAGTGCTGAAAATCCGGCGATGCTACCTAGTGTAGATAACATCTCCAGTTCCACGATTGGCACCACACCCCTTTCTACCACTTACCGAGCGCGTTCCACTGCTCGCAAAGTGCCTACTCGCAAACGTACGAAACACACATGTCCGCTTTGATGCGTTTTCTCGTAGATCTTCCGCGGGGGATCCAACCCATTTGCGAGTAGCTACTCTGCGAGCAGCGGGAGCGAGCTCGTCTAACCACGCCCCTCTCCTGCCTCCAGACCGCTGCTATGGCGCCGGCGGCCCGAGCAGGTGGCGCCGGGAGACCGCCCGAAGGCCCTGCTGGCGCGCGGGCCCCGGCGCTCGGCGGGGCGGCGCGAGCGGGGCGCGCGAGCTCTGTGACGACGGCACGCCGCCTCGGCCTGAGCCACGGCACAGGGCCGCAGCAGCTCCACGAGCAGCAGCAGCAGCGCCAGCAGCAGCAGCGCCAGCAGCAGCAGCAGCAGCAGCAGCAGCGGCGGCGGCGGCGGCGGCGGCGGCGGCGGCAGCGGAGGAGGAGGAGGAGGAGGAGGAGGAGGAGGAGGAGGAGGAGGAGGAGGAGAAGGCCGAGGAGGAGGCCGAGGAGGAGGACGAGAAGGAGGAGGAGGAGAGGATGATGAGGAGGAGGAGGAGGAGGCGGAGGAGGAGGAGGAGGAGGGGTGGAGGGAGGAGGAGGAGAGGAAGGAGGAGGAGGCGGGAGGAGGAGGAGGAGGAGGGGAGGAGGCGGAGGGAGGAGGAGAGGAGGGGGAGAGGAGGAGGAAGAGGAGGAGGATGAGAGGAAGAGGAGGAGGAGGAGGAAGAGGAGGAAGGAGGAGGAGCGAGGAGGTGG